ACCAAAACATTTGCGGTCAGATTAATATCTGTATTGCTGCGTGTATTGCAGCGGTACTTCTTTTAATACAGGATGCCTAGAGAAAAACAGAACAATTCTAATCAAAGACACTGTTGGATATACAAGACTGTTTAGTGTGTTTAGGTTATTTTGTGACTTAATATTTAATGACTGTTTAGTTTTTAAGACAGGAGTGTTAAAGATGGATTGTTTTAAAAGTGTTAGTTGTGACAAATTTCGTACGTTGTGTTTGCAATTACATTGTTGTTTAGGTTTTAATAATATTGTTTTCTGCATTCGTTTAGTTAGTGCTAAACTTTATCGCACTTGATACTATCAATAAATAACGTTATAATGTTACTCTACGACCTAACGTTAGGCCTTTATAAAAAATTTGATAAGCTTTTTGTATGTTTCTATACAAAACGCCTACTAAAATATATTTACCTCCGCCTTTTCTTGAAATTAAGTGCGAGCGCATGCGCATTTAGATAGTAAATGCGCACACGTTTTTCAGGACAGACAAAAGCTGAGTATTATTACAACAAGATAAATAAAAATTTGGGAATTTAAAAACCTGCAAGTATGGATCGTAAAAAAGTAAAGAAACAAAGCTAGAGATACTGTAAACATTATTTACTCAAACTAGAAACTCCTATTTTGGCTCCATGCTGTTACCTAGAATTACATTTGGTGGAGTCAAAGTAAGGATTTGTAGTTTGAATAAATAATGTATACAGTATCTCCAGCCTTGTTTCCTTACTTTGTTTACGATCCATATTTGGATGCTTTTAAATTATCAATTTTTTATTTATCTTGTTTGCTGGCTTTTTTATGCTCAACTATGATAGCTAACTTGATACATTGTAATTGTAATAAACATAACTAGTAGTCAACTGATACGGTTCATGATGATTTACTGTAGCTATTGACTGTTTTATTGCATTAATTCCAGTTGTAAAATGTAAGTTGCAGCTAGAGGTTGTCGTGGAAATTTTTCAGAGAATATGGAGAGCATTTACAGTTTCTGTGTAACTAGATTCTCTATATATAATGCATAGCAATGGGCGAATATATGCCTAGACTAAAATAAACCCTCACTAAACTACCAGTAGAATTGTTTCTAATTAAGCACAAAGAAACACAATGGGCTATATATATGTGTTCTGCCAATCACGGGTATCGAAACCCGGTTTTTAACGTTATAAGTCCGCAGACATACCGTTGTGCCACTGTGGGTTACGAGTAGAAAAGGAGCCTTTTCAAATAAAACATATACGTCTAAAACATCGCTTTAAATAAACCTTCCTGTTTTTTATTCTAATAAAATTATTAGAATTATTTCTAATAATTATTTTTCTAATAAAATTATTCTACGAATGTGTGTAATAAAATTTAACATTGTGTGTATTGATTTTTTACTCCTTCATTTCATACATAATATGTATCATTAAACATAAAAAGTAACTATGTTTTTAATTGGAAAAAGTAAAAGAAAGGTGAGTATGATATTAAATTTGAAACTGTTGTAATTTAAAGACTTTACCTTGGTTACTAAAGTTGAACTGTTTTAATTGACAAACTTTACCTTGGTTTATAAAGTTAAAATTGTTTTAATTGAGAGACTTTACCTTGGTTACTAAAGTTGAACTGTTTTAATTGACAAACTTTACCTTGGTTACTAAACTTGAAACTGTTTTAATTGACAAACTATACCTTGATTACTAAAGTTGAAACTGTTTTAACTGACAAACTTTACCTTGGTTACTAAACTTGAAACTGTTTTAATTGACAAACTTTACCTTGGTTTATAAAGTTGAAATTATTTTATTAAGAGAATCTACCTTGGTTTCTAAAGCTGAAACTGTTTTAATTGACAAACTTTACCTTGGTTTATAAAGTTGAAATTGTTTTATTAAGAGACTTTACCTTGGTTTCTAAAGTTGAAACTGTTTTAATTTAGAGACTCTACCTTGGTTACTAAACTTGAAACTGTTTTAATTGACAGACTTTACCTTGGTTACTAAATTTGAAATTGTTTTAATTGAGAGACTTTACTTTGGTTTCTAAAGTTGAAACTGTTTTAACTGATAGACTTTACCTTGGTTATTAAACTTGAAACTGTTTTAAGTGAGAGGCTTTACCTCGGTTACTAAATTTGATACTGTTTTAATCGAGAGACTTTACCTTGGTTATTAAACTTGAAACTGTTTTAAGTGAGAGGCTTTACCTCGGTTACTAAATTTGATACTGTTTTAAGTGAGAGGCTTTACCTTGGTTACTAAAGTTAAAACTGTTTTAATTGACAAACTTTACCTTGGATACTAAATTTGAAACAGTTCTAATTGATAGACTCTACCTTGGTTATTAAACTTGAAACTGTTTTAATTGAGAGACTTTACCTTGTTTACTAAACTTCAAACTGCTACAATTAAATAGGCTCTACCAATAATATAGATTCAAGCTTCGTCTCAAAAGCTTTGCAACTGTGCAAGTTTAAAAAACATATCAAATTTTACGAGACGTGTCGTTGCACCTAAGCACAAGAAATCTACATATTTCAATGCTAAATATTATTTACAAATGACATAGTTGTGTGGTATTCTCAATTACGCTAGTTATCCTACAGGAAAGAAAAGTAACAGCAAAAGCAGGACAAGCGACAGAAAATATTATGCATAGTTAATATTGGATTAATGAATTGAAGTAAAGAGAGTAAATTCAATATAAACCAAACGAAAAGTAATTCTTATTTATTAGCACACAACAAGTTAAGACTAATGTGTTTACAAAGAAATCAGCATTATTTAGTCCATAGCTTTGAGTCAGACGAGAATCTGGCCCACTTCTCAAGATCTCAATTACACTGTTTAAGTTAATAACTTTCTAGACATTACAAGAGGGTCATC